GCATTTAAGAAAATTTAATGCATCATCTACATTTTTTTTCCTTTATGTATGTGGTAGGTCAGCAAATAAATGTTTGAGGTCTAGGCTTCCAAAAGTAAATGTGGGTCCACCAGGAGGGGCCTGGGTTTCCTGACCATAGAGTTTGTGGACAGGTCTATCTTACAGTATCCCAGCTGACATAGCTGTAACTCCAGGAAGGCAGTGGTGTCCTATAGGTCCTATTGCATTATACCCACTATTGCATAGATGGTTGAGAAGTGAGTCCCTGAGCCTTTTGAAGCCAGTCCCTGATTTTCTGTGGGATCAGGGCCAAGATATGTGAATGTCCTGGCTTAGCAAAGCTTAGCAAAGGACAACTGCATCTCTCCTGTCCACAAATGCATTTATTCTGGCAGACACCAGATATGCAGAGGAGAAAACACATAAAATAATAATCATCACCTCTTCAAAATATGTTTGAACTATTTCCAGGTAAAATATTGGTCCAGGAATTCTGGGAACAGGAGAGATTTGGTAGTCAGAGTAATAGTAGTAGAAGAATCCATGCCAATTTCTGATCCCTAAGGTTCAGCCAAGTGAAAATTCATGCATTGTGAAGCTGTCACAGTCTGCTTGCTTAGGCGGCCATGACCTCTGCCACTTTTTATCCTGTAAATTCAAAGTGGCCTCTTCCCTGGTCCAGTAAGGAACAGAAGATGATTCATTGCAGTCAAGCATCCAGAGCTCAAAGTAGCCAGTAAGTTTTCCCTAGGACTTCTGAAAAGCCTGTTTATTTGATGGAATGCACACAGAAGGTGAAGATGCAGAAGGAAACTACTCTCTTAATTTGTTTTCTGTTTCTACTAGTTTGTGCTGTACATAGAAACAAAAAAAAGCACCTAAATCCATTACCGATTCAGTAACTTCTGTATCAGTATCTTGCTTTCTGCACCAGCAGTCTTAGCTACCTTGCTAGGTGCAGAAATAAAATGTGTCTTTCTGGTTTTATAGAGTGAAATTACACTTCACACTCGGAGTTTCTAGGTCTTATGCTTGCATTCAGAAAGGATGTGGTTTTTCTGTTCTATAGGTTGCAACACAGAGCTGCACCAAATGGAGTTGGAGGAAGTTTGCTGTGTAGTTCCAGTTGTGACAAATGCTTCACCATAATTCTTCACAAAAAGATGAAATCCACAGTTTTAGTCTTCTGAACTACACCTCGCCGGCTGGGAAGGGTAGACTCAGGTTTAACTTGCATGGTGGGCACAGTAGGAAAATAAGTAGTAGGACAGAGGGGACAAATGGAGACATGCAGTACAATGGTTCTCATCCAAGTGATTGTTCTTTGCTTTGGCTTCTGCTCCTATTGAAGGTGCCACCACAATAAATGTTGACTTTTTAATCCTCCATGGCAAGTACCTAAGTAGATTTTGCATCCTGTCTTGACTCCATACCCACAAAACTGCGGAGTACAAGGAATCTTTATATGCCACCTTTTTGCTTGCCAAACATCTGCTAGTTCCTTGTCAGTGCTTAAGAGGTCTAGCCTGAGCCCTCTGTCTTTGAAGTCTGCAAAGGGCCTCACCGTGCTCACAGGAGCTACTTCCTGCAACCAGTTCTCATTCAATTATGAGAGCAGACTTCCCAGGAACATGGAAGAAATGTAGGTGGGGATGTCTGCTCCTTAAACCAAATGACAGGGAGAAGCAAATGCAGTGGTTCCTCTGAAACTTCTTCCAAAATGGCTCCACGTTTCTAGGAATACAAGGCTAGTTTGGCAGGGACTACCTGTGTCACTGAAGAACCTTTTTTCATTTGCTCTTTTCCTTCTGCTCCATGCTATATGTAGGAATATTGTATTTCCTACTAATGTTGGCCCCTTATACTGAAAAAGCAGGAAGACAGGATGGGAAACAGCATTCATATAGGTCCTAGCTAGTGACTGCAGTGTATCAGGTTTTTGGTATATGAAATCAAATGAACACAGTATCCTGAGGATACTGAGACAACGGCAAATTGTCATTCTGTGTATTCAAAATGATCTGTATACTGCAGGCAAGGATACTGCAGCAGGTTGACAAACAGAAAAGCAACCCATGCTTTTCTACATGAAATTGTTTTTTCTGGTCATTATTTACTTTCTGGGAAAAGAAACAACATGCTTGTGTTTTGGGGTATTTCCACCTGATTTCTCTCATTTTTTTTCATGCACAAAAGGAAGGTGAAACTAGGGGTTTGCAAGTCTGAGGAACTACCCTATTTCTAGTTATGAAGAGTACAGATGTTATGTGAAGGTGTTTTATTCACTTTATCTTCTAAGATTTAAACATATTTTCCTGAATTTTTAAATGACAGAAAATAAAATCTCTATGATAATTGGGGGTTTTCCTCTTTAAGAAACAAACAAACCAACCCAACCAACCAACCAAAAAACAACAAACATGTAAAGAAACGAAAACTCTTGATCTACTTCTCTCTCTTCCAGGGAGCACTTGGGCTGCTAGCACCTCTCACTTCTCTATCTTTTTATGAGTGTCTGTTGCTATAAACACCATCCACTAGAATCTGGGTGAAAACTTCATGCTTGTTGCTCATCATAGCTTTGCTTACAGCTGAAGCAGTTCATTAATTCACATTAGCAAAATAAGATTAAGGCTCTGTCCTACTACCCATCAGAACAGTTCCTGCTCTTTCAGGTAGTGCTGTAAAGGACCTGTCTGTTGTGAATAAGACCTTGTCTAAACTCCAGGCTGCCATAAAGGAGGTAGCTAGAAGGATTTGCAGGACACTGTAATATCTGGAACTCATCCACAGAAACGCAATAAAGTGTTTTTAAACACATAAGAATCTTCCAAATCTTTGGAAATCTGAGTAGTTTGCTTTGAGAATGCCCATAAATAAAATATCTCCCAGGCCTGCAAACTACATCTGTTGCCAGAGTTTAATCCCAAATACCAAAAGTACAGAAAGAAGCTGGCTTATAAAGTATGCAGGGGTACTCCTCTGTGCAGATAGATCATCTCCTTTTGCAAAGTCCCCAACAAATGCCCAACATTTTCAATATGCAAAATCAACTTGCAGCTTCATAACTGCTACAAAGGAAGTTTCTGCATTGCAAAGAGATGGTTTTCTTGGAGGTATTGCTTTATGTAAACCAAGGGCTTTGCAGACAATTCATAATTTCATCTCACTGGACTAGGCTATGGATGAGTTATCAGCGTTGGCTCCCTGGAAGTCGTGAGTTGTGAGTTTCTTAAGTTCAGATAAATGGTCAGCCATGCACATGGTGAATATATGCTTGTACATGCACAGAGTGTTATCCCTTCAGCTTTCATTTCCTTCAGGACAAGGCATGTACACCCCACACACAGGTGCACACAGATACAGATAAACATTTTGTAGATTGAGTTAAGAATTAGTTTGACAAGTTTAGCAGACTGTAGTGGTCCCTGAAGTGTCTGGTTGCACATTTACATAGGCTGCATTGGTAGCTGACTTTCAGAACTAAACACAAGGGAATATGTGTGGTTGCTGTAATGCTTTCAACATATGCGTTACTACAGATCTCTACTTTTCTATATGTTAACCAGACTTGTGGGTTTGGTAGTGCCTTTGCATAACTTCTATTTGTGCAGCTGAAAAATCTCTTCTCTTCCTGCATAATTGAGTTCTGACCATTAAAATCAGAACCCAACAAAAAAAGGTCAGCATTTAACAATCAGCCATTATATAAAATGTCCCCATGTTGTTTCCTATTCACTCTCTAGATAACTAGGATGGATTTTCAGGTACTTTTTGGCTGACAGTTAAGACATGGTCATTGCATAGTTTGTGTCTGTACTGAAATATTTTAAACCTCAGCATGATTGCTTTTATGTGATTTCTTCTGTGTAAAGAAATGAGGGTCAGACTTTTCCATTGGTTTCTCAGGGATGAGCTCATTCTGTTGCTACTGGTGTACATGACTATTTATACTGCATTGAGGTAGGACCGAATTAGACTGTTCAACTAATGTTTAGTTCCTTGGATCCTTCCAGCAAGATGTGCAATTCCTCAACTATTCTATAGGATAACAATGAAAACATATTTTTTTTTCACCAGCCAGCAGATAAATTACAGCTTTTCCTGTGCTCTGGAATGTCATTGTGGTGGCCTCTTTCACAAGTTTTGTCAGCTTAAGTAAAACAAATACCCTACTCATTTGCCTTAGGTTACAAAATAACAACCAGGCATTTACTGTTGTTATAGGGACCCATAATTATTTATCAATTACTGAGTATGCAAACTTATTTTGTGTACTCAGTGGATTTAGATCTATTTTCATTCTGGTCTAATTAGAAAGCTACATGCTAATCTCCAGCCTCAGGCTTTTCCTACCCGTCACTGAGTGATTGCTTAGCTTATCCTTTCAAAATAAACAAGGAGCTGCCACATCCACAGCAATGCTCCAAAAGGAGGCCCCATACACAGTGATATAGCATTAAGAGATTACTTTTTTTTTTTTTAGCAATTCCCTTTTGTTTTGTAAAATTGTCTACTAACTACTTTCTAGACCAAGTTAATATTTTCTTTCGAACATGGTGGGAGAGGAAGAAAACTAATTTGAAGCAAAGATTAGTTAGTTGACTATAAGACAAAAGGAGATAAATTCTGGGAGTACAAAGTACTGAAACAGGTAGATATTTGAATGAAGTTATGGGCTCTCCTTTCTTCTGTGCTTTCCAGAACATGTTAGATAAACATGTTGTGATTAGCCTAGGCATATCAGACCCTGCCTCTGGGCAAAACATTATATTAGATGATCTCATAAGGTCTCTTTCAGCTCTAGTTTTCTAAAATTAAATTCAAATTAGAAGCACAGGAGGCTGAGCTGTGCAAGTCACTGAACTTTCTCCACTACTGCTAGAAATCAGAGTGCCCACCGTGCTCCCCTAAAAGTAAGAGCAGACCCTCCATTTGAGAGCTGTGCCACTGTAGGAGGAGGTAGACATGGAGATGAGAGGATGCTGGAAGTAAATCCCCAGGATGGAGGCTGTGAGCAGTGCCAGTCACAGTGAGACACTCCCCTAGCCTCTGAGACTGGCAAGGTATTAGAGGAAAAGTTCGAATGGATTCTGTCCACTCTTTCCTAGGAAAGATGAAAAATTGGCTGAAAGAAGAGGTATCCTACGGTTTGCATCTCTTACTGATGAGCATCTGATGTAACTGAATGTTTGCTGGAAGGCAGCTCCATGGCCAGCTGCCACATCCCAGGTGAGCAGCCATCTTTCTGGGCTACTGATCTGCCCTGTTGCGTCCTGCATTATCTGTCCCAGTTTAGGTGAGGGAGCAGAGTGAAATGAGTCCATCCAGTAAGACAGTGGGAGGACCCCTCCAGGATAACATGTAACATGGTGGCTAAGTGGCTCCCTAGGAGTTTGAGAGACCATCATCAAGTGCCTGTTTCCAATCAGGCAAACAAAGATGTCCCAGAAATAAGATACAGCCTTTGGGCCTTGGTCAAAGAGTCAGCAGCACAGTCCTCATAGCCTCCTCTTGGGCATGGGTTTTGGCATGGTTGTCATGAGCAATCCTGCTGTAGGACCCATATTTAATGTGCATTAGGCACAAAACAGTTTGGACCCAAATAAAAGAGAAAACAAGGTTCAGCGTCTGCAGGCTGAGGTGTGGATTCTTGGGATGAAAACCACATACTTTGTGCAGAACATGGCAATTAGACACCTAAACCACCCACACAATCTCATCCCATCTAATGGTGTTTGTCTGTTTATGTTTATGGTTATATTTATATTTTAGAGGGAAAAACAAGCAAACCTCTTTACCAAGAGAAAACAGCTCATTGCACAAACAACTTTTCTGCCAGGAAGAAGGCACTCCATGTGATACAGGTGGTCACACCACCTGATGTGCAGCCAGGAGCGCAGCAATGATTCTTCCATGCGAATTTGAGTAGTTTTAAAAAGAAGTTTCAAGCTTCATCAAAGGGGCAGGTGGTCATATATCTTTTTTATGTATACATATCTTCACATTCACTGTTGTGTGTGTGACAACACGTGTTTTAGTTGCAGGATAGGTAATGCTTTTTGATCATGGGAGAAGCTGGAGCTGCTCGTGTCCATTTACAAGGTTAGGTAGTCTTGACTCTAACAAACAGTCAGACTCTGTTTCTCTGTACCATGTTAATATTTCCACTATGGGATATACAGTGGCTTTAGGACCTCAGGAAGAGCTGTTTGTGCAAATTATCAAGCAAATCAATGGTATGTGCATTCCAAGGACTCATAACTCAGGCAGAAAGAAAAAAAAGATCATCAAATTGCTCAAAGGAACTTGTTTAGGGTGGCAATTTCCTTGCCGTATTTCAGCGCTCTGTCTCCAGCTATTCAGGCTGTCTGAAATGAATCACTGTCTTTTTTCTTCCTGAACAATGGGGGATGTGTTATCAGTTTGTGCTAACTCTTCCTAATTCTCCTTTTCCATGAAAAGAAATAAAAACCTGAGACTGTTTCTGTTGACAACTCTACCCTACAAACTAAACATGCAAAAACTGTCAGTGGGCTGAAGGTAGTACCTTAACCAGGAGAAGTCAAAATAGCTTGGCTGTTTTACCCACCACTGGAATGGAACGCACGCTACGTACACAAATCAGGCCACACATATAAAAAAAACATCACTAAGAAGTAAGATCCATTATCCCCTTTAATAACTACAGATTTCATCCTACATTGGAAGGATGCTGAGTCCAGGCTCCTGTTAGGTGGCCTCATCCCAGACAGGGGTGAGTCCATATAAAATCACAACCAGTTGTGGGCTGGGATTTTTTTGCCAAAGCTGAATATATTTCTGTTTGAAGTACTGTTGGTGAGGATCATGCTTTATTAGACATGGTGTTAACACCAGTTCATAATCTGAACTCCTTTTTCATATTAAAATAAGAAATTGTGTCCATGAAAGCTCGAGATCGGCTTTTTCACTACAAGCTGCAACTCTTTTTTTCTCAAATGAAATAAAGGCACTGCTTGGGAGCAGAAGAGCAAAAGGATGTTTCTAAGCTAAAAGGCAGGCAGAATAAGCTTGGCTTGTCACGAAGTTGCACTGAATCTGACGAATGAAATTTCATTAGAGGTGCAGGGGTGGTTATGAAACTGACAGTAAATAACTTTCTCCCCAGAGTCTCACACTTTTTCTAGAGTCTATTTTCTCTTCAGACTCCATTCTGCCAGGGACAATATTTTAAAAGCAAAAGAGTCAGAGTTAGAAGTTATTAGATAATAAAGGTCAAATGTATTTTTTCCAGGAGCTACTGGAGTTTATGCCATTATTTTATCTTTTTCCCTCCTTTGCGCTTTCTCTCACAATTGTTACCACTAATGTATCCAAGCCAAGGCTATGAATCTAAACAAATCTGGAGATGGTTCCACAGCTAAATTGTGTAGCTGACCATTTTCTCTCCAGTGACCCAAAGCAAAACCCAAGCTCTGTGCTCTGAAATGCTTGGATCTGTTTCAGACCTGGGTCTGAACTTGATGGCTGATGACCCTGTCCAGTCATCATGCTTCAGTAATTCAAAATATAAATTAAATGCACATCATCATTCATTCCACTAAACCACATCTGTGTGTGAAGCTACTTTTGCTCTCTCAGGGCATTACAAGACTATGAAGTATCTCTCCTCCTGGCTGTGACTGAGCAAAAAGGGCTTCTTTGCCTTCTTTCTTGCTGCTTCTGAAAGGAAGGTTTTCTGCTCTTTTGGCTTGGGGATATAAGACACTTGCATTTCCAAACAAGAGGCCCTATCATGACAGTTTGTGTTTTCTGTAGGATTAGATGTTGAATTTACTCTCTGTCCCACCCTCACTGCTCCTCAGCTGGAATGTGGGCTGGGAATAACCTTGATGATGCAGCTTCTTTTGCTCTGAAGCCAAGGCAGGAGGTCCAGCAATGGTCCAAAGCGTAGGAACACATCTTTCCTGCACAGACACTGTCACTTGCAATTGACCGAGACTGGCTAGAAGGAGCACCCAAGCTCTTTTCATGAGAGGTTCCCCCATAGTAACACAGCCTGTATCTCTTCTTACAAATGGCCCTCTGAAGGACATCTGGTTCTGAAAACATATATCTGCATCTGTCTCTGTTGTTAGATGTGATTTTGATCAGCTTACAGATGTTTCGTAAGTGAACTCTTCTTCCCTGCATGCAAAGAAAAAGCTTTTCTTGGTAGCAGGTAAAGCCAGGTTACAAAACACCTGTTTCTGAAGTGCACAGCAGTCTCCAGATGGACAATTAATGGAAAAAAAGAGATGTTCTCAGATTCATTCTCTACTTTTCTTTTTAAAACACTGAGAACACGTGTTTTGGGCAAAATTCTGCTGCTGTCAGAAAAGCAGAGCTGGGATTTCAGCACCCTAATTTGGTTGATTAATTTTCTGGGAAGCAAGTTTTGCGGATCACACACTTAAGCTGATAAAATCAGCAGAACTTTACTACCTTCCCTCACCAGGCCATGTCACTGACGTAAATGGAAGTTATTACACTGATAGTTTATGGGAAGAGGATTTAGGCTAAAGAGATAACAGAGCCCCAGGCTTTTGCTCTTCCAAGTTTCCTAAAGCCAAAAATGCTTGTAGAACTAATCTGAAAAGCGTATTTCCAGTGTAGATGAAGTTGGAAGACTCAATTTCTTGGTACAACCTCTATTTTCTAGAACCGGAATTAGGACTTTCAAAAATCACTGATAACCCAGATGTCTTGCCACTGCTCTTAGTAGAAGGCAATCCTAGATAATGATCCACAAATACCTTTTAATTTGCCTCTTTCTCAGAGTGTGCCATGCCAGCAGATGATTAATACATTAATCTTAACTGCATTTGCAGCTGATTCTTTACTTATTCTCTACCTTGAAGATTTAGTCACGATCACCTACTGTAAGATCTGTTCTTACCCATAAGAGTCTAGTCACTTTTGAGTGGGGGATGATCTAAAATAAAGTCTTGCAGATGATAGTGCACAAAACACCACACACAGTTGCACACAACACACACGATGCTGCCAGCAGTCCTGCTGCTTAAGAGCAAAAAACGTCTTTCATGAACTCTGAATCTGCAAGTTGATTGTAATGCGATTGAATAGGCTAATAAATGTCATACCATTGTACAGGCTCACACAGGAGGCAGTGCTAACACATTCATTAAAGGTACCAAATTGTATAGATTGTGACATCAGATATACTTTTTAGTCGTGAGAAAGAACAATTTATTTATGCTGCTTATTATTGAGAAATAATACAAAATGGTTTGCAGGAGAAAGAATTCCTGTTATAGCACTCGTTATTCACCATTGTACTGGATAGAAGATAGCTTTGTGAAAGAAAAATTTGGAGGATTTAATTGAGAATTAAATTTTAATTGCTGGAAAATACGTGCTGAATATCACCTGCTGCAAATCAGAGTTGAATTTGGTCATCAGTCAGATGTTATACTGAAATGTACCATAATATTAGGGAAGGTCAGAAGAATATTGAGGTTTGCATTTGAAAGATTACAATCTCTGTCACGCATTAACTACTATAGCTGCTAAATATGCCATTATAGAAAACATTTTGCAACTGGATTCAGAAACTCCCTGAAAACATTCAGAGAATGGGGGGAAAAGGTAAAGAAATAGGTAAGTATGCTTTTGGCATCTCTGGGCTTTACGAAGGTATAACTTTGTGGGATCAAGGATGACAAGGGTAGCAATTGGAGATGTGGACTGTGGGGAGTCTGGAAGAAGGCTCTATCAATCTGCTTTGGTGGAGTTTATCTGTCCCAGCAGTAATCTGGGTACCAGCAGGTATTTGATGGCTCTGCGATAGGCATGGATTAGAAGCCACTAGAAGGGCTATAAATTTTCAGGCTCAAGGCTTGAACTGATGTGTAACCAATTGAGACTAGGGACAGGCTTCTCCTTTGGGGAGACTGCTGCCTTATTTGTACCTTAGCAAGGCAGCTGGATTACACGGACAGTTACTTGTATCAAATACAGAGGTTCCTGTGTACTCTAGCTGTCAGGGTGGGTAGGAAAGCTTTGTCAGATGGTGAAAACACACTGCAAAAGACATCTGCCAGTGACTTATTGCAGTAGCTGTAT